AATATTTTAAAGAAAAAATTAAATTTATTAAAAATAAACTGATGGAATATTCGTGGTGGACACGCAGACAGCAGGATTTCACCCTTTTTTTTTTTTTGGCGTACAAGCTGAGTTCATGTTGCGTGTGCATTTTGAAGCATTAACGAGACACCCTTTTTTTGTTTTTTCGACAAGAAAGCATTAACGACAAATGAGACTTCGGTTCAAAGTAACCCCAAAAGAAAGAAGAAAAAAAAAAAAAAAAGGCAAAACCATAAGTTAAGCCCCTGAACTAACCCCATAGTTTCAATTAAACCCCTAGACTTTAATTGATGCATTTAAGCCCTTGAACTCTGGGATCAAAGCAATTAAGCCCTTCTTCTTACGCCAACTTAACTACCGTTTGGGATTGCTCGCCTGACTTAACTGCCGTTGAGGACGCACACTGCTTGCATGGCAAAATATTGCCATGTCATGCTTACATGGTAAGGGATTTAACATTTGACCTGGATTTTTGATTTATTTGATAATTTAATTTTTTTATTTAAATAAAAAAATAAATTATCAAATAAATTAGAAATCCAGGTCAAATGTTAAATCCCTTGCCATGTAAGCATGACATGGCAATGTTTTGCCATCCAAGCAGCCAAGCGGGGTGCGTCCTCAACGGCAGTTAAGTCAGGCGAGCAATCCCAAACGGCAGTTAAGTTGGCGTGAGAAGAAGGGCTTAATTGCTTTGATCCCAGAGTTCAAGGGCTTAACCGCATCAATTAAAGTCTAGGGGCTTAATTGCGATTCTGGGGTTAGTTCAGGGGCTTAACTTATGGTTTTGCCAAAAAAAAAAGGGGGGAAGAGAAGAAGACTTCGGTTCAAACTGAGAAATTGGCTGCGAAATTAAAGGGTCAAATCTTGCTTTTCCACCACCAAATGCGCGATTTTATTATTATTATTATTTAAAAATAATAATTATACTAATAATTTTAATATTTATTCTTAAAACATGGGAGAGTGAATGTACATTGGTTAATGATATCATAAATAATTTTTCACATAATTTTTATTTATAACTTATATTTATTTAAATAAAAATACATAAAATATTTGAGATGTATTACAAAGCATTTGGAGGATTAAAAAAATTAAATAACATATAAATTTATATAAAAAAT